CAGAGGGTGTATCCTCTTCAAACTCAAGCTCTCGCTTGTGATACTCTGGCGCCGCAAAAAATGCGCAGCAGGAACTGTGGACGGCTAAGCGGAAGGAGGCCGGCTCTTATTCAAATTCGTGCTTGTGTTTCGGTGCCGCGCGTCTCTTGAAGCACAGCCCCTGCCAGCTACAAGCAGCTACATGGATAAAGGGCGATTCCTCCGTAAGCCCATTCTGCTTAGTAGCTCTTCGGCGGGGTATTAATGTGATCGCAGATTCGCACTTCAGAACACCCAGGGCTTCGGTCGCAAATCATGAGAGCCTTGTGTGTCCTCGCAATCCCGTCTTTCCTGTGCGCAAGCGTCCGCCAGCGCCTGGCCATCGATGGGGAAGCGCCGAGCCAGCGTCGATTAGCAACGATTGACGTCGACTAGCGTCGATTCGCGTCGATTTAGCGCCGATTCGCGCTGATTAGCAACGACCCGCAAGAGCCAACGAGATGGTATAGGAGGCTCCCACGAGTTGCCGCGGAGCAGGGCCATCGCCCTGCATGTCCGTGGGGCCAGAATCGTCTCTGGCTGGGGCTGGCGAGAAGTCGGGAGGGCTTTTGTTCGGGCGGGCGGGCGCGCGCACGACAGCGCCAATTGATGGGACTGTTTTCCACCACCACCACCACCACCAAAAGTTGGAGGGGGGAAGGAGGTGGAGGATGATGAGGAGGACGAAGAGGAGGAGGGGGAGGAGGAGGAGGAGGAGGAGGAGGAGGAGGAGGAGAAGGAGGAGGAGGAGGAGGACACCGTCCCCCTCCTACTTATGGTGGTGGTGGTGGTGGTGGAAAACAAGCCCACCACTAGTGGTACGCCCTGGGTCCGCTCTCCAGTCCTCGCGCGAAGGTCTCTCCGGGAGCCTCCCGAGGCCTCTCTTAGGTTTGAGGGACTGCCCACGTGACAGGAAGCGTTCAGAGCCTGGGGCCTGCTTCTCGTCGGTACTGCCTCATCCCTCCTGTTCCTCTTCCTGTTCCTCTTCCTCCTCGTCCTCCTCCTCCTCCTCCTCCTCCTCCTCCTCCTCCTCCTCCTCCTCCTGGGTGTTCCGCTGGTGAGCTCGAGCGCCTGCGCACCCTTACCTTCTCCGCTGTTGCAAGCACCACTGCGGGGCGCTCGCGCACGTCAACGCTGATGATGCCGCCTTTTCCTGGACCCGATGTGCCGTGCCACGCCGCAGCCTGTCCCGATGACGCTCAGGGCAGCCTGGGAGGGATGGATCCCGCAGCATGTCATTGGCCATGGCTTGCTGCACAGTCCCAGCTGCACCTGGGCTCGGGTGCATGTGCGTTTCTGCGCTCGCAGGCTCTGCCGAGCAACCGCCGCCCCCTCCTCGCGTGCCCAGCGTTTCCTCTCTGTCTCCCTTTGCCACCCCCTCTTCCTCAGCTCTATAAAGTACTGCATCAGGGAGCGGGTTAGGCGGTGTTTTTTGGGTCGAGGGTGGAACTCACGAAGCGTGTGTGTAGGGTGTCCTTCGGGTGCGCGAGCACGGCGTATTTTACGAGGGAGTTTGATTTCGGGGGCGCAAATTCTACGTAATCTTACGTGCCCCAGGACACCCCAGAAACTCTGAGACGCCTCCCAGGCAGTTGTAACCCAGGCCCTTCTCGGCTCCCCCCTTCGCGTTGACTATAATATTTCACGGCAGGAAGCAGATCGTAAGACTATACTCTGGGAGATTTGAGGATTTGGTTTGGAGCAGGGGGCAGCAAGCCTCGCCCGCGGAGCCGTGTGGCCCCACAGAGGGGCCGGTGGATCTCTGGTGTGCCCGCCTCTCTGAGTTGGCAGCTCGAACTTCTGGCGGCCTTTTCCTTGGCCAGTGAATTTCCCGGGGGGTCGGTTTTTGAAATCCCCGGGATCCAGCCTCAAAGTATTTGCGTCCTTTTCGTTTGTATCGTTTGCTTCGCGCCGAAGCCACCAGGAACTGTTTGGCCTTCTTCCATCTTCCATCGCTCTTCCCTTACAGGACGCCCCCTCCTCGCGCCACCAGTCGCGCGAGTAGGGCGGGACCGGCGTCTCGCCTGGTCACTCGTCGGCCCCTGATGTCATGATATTTTTTTTATATATACATATATATATATATATATATTGGATTCCCTGCAGCTTTGCGCATGGAGGGCAGGTCGTTTTCAAAATGTGGCTGTCTACTTAGCGCCGCGCACACTCGCCTTTTGCCGCTTCCAGCAGCCTTGCGGATGACACGGCGGGGCGTTTAAGACATGTGTCTCGCCGTTTGTTAAAGGCGTCGCCTTCCGACAGGCACACAGCCGGTAGGCGAGTCCGTTTCACGATGGGGCTTTTGTTTCACACTTGTTTAATTATCATAATCGTAAGCGTTTTCGTCCGTCCCAGAAGGAGGACGGTGTAGAGCGGCTTCTTGAAACAAATATCGCCTGTCTGGTCGGTCTTTGGTGCGCTCGTCTTTCAAGGGGGCGCTTTCCGCAGCGACGAGGACTTTTTGAAGAGTGACTGCGGCTGCGCTGGTCGACCAGCGCCACGAGGGCAAACCTCGGTGATCGAATATAGGGGCTGGTCCGTCCTAGCAGTACAATAGTCTTGCAACGCAGCAGATACTATACCAAATTCTAGACGCTTCGCGTAACCCCACCAGCCCATCCAGAAAGGATGCCCGGAGGAATTGCCTCGATCAGGGAAATGGGTAGCACACAGAAGAAGGGTCCCCCAGTGGAGGCCTCTTGGAGCGTCTTGGGGGCCTCTAGGCGGTCCCGGACGCCTCTTAGAGCGTCTTGGGTGCCTCGGAGAGCTTCTTGGGGCCTCTTGGGGGTCTCTTGGGAGCCTCTTGGAGGCCTCTTGGGCGCCTGTTGGGGCCTCCTGGGGCCTCCTGGGCGCCTCTTAGGGCCCTCTTGAAGCGCTCTCGGGAGCCTTGGGAGCCATCTTGAGGCATCTTGGGATATCTTGAGCCATCTTGGAGGTCATCTTGGGCTCTCCCAGGCGCTCTTGGAGTCATCTTAAGCAGTGCCCCCCCCTCCCCCCCAGGAGGCCAAAATGTGGCCAAAACCTTGGTAAAATCAATGAGTTTGGCATTCTCGCCGAGACCTCTTAGAGCGTCTTGGGTGCCTCTGGGGGGTTCCTTGGGGCCTCTTGGGGGCACCCTGTTGGGGCCATCTCGGAGGAGATCGATCAAAAAAGGGGGGATCTCAATTAGCGCCGCCCCCCCAAGAGGCCAAAATGGGGCCAAAACCGTTGTAACACCAATGATTTTGGCTTCCTCGCCGAGGCCGTTTTGGACGCTCCAGCGACCCGCGGAACACCCCCTCCAGGTCCAGGGGAGGGGGTAGGGGGAGGGGTCAAGACCCCCTCCCTGCCCGCAAGCCGTCTCGCTCACTCCCACCCGCCCTCCCAACACATACGTAGCACCCGAGTCTGGCCCGAGCCTGAGCATATTCAGCAGTCGTCTTTGGATGGGCAGCTACTGGGGGCCAATCCGCCGCCGCCGTCGCCGCCTCCGCCGCCGCCGCCGCCGCCGCCGCCGCCGCCGCCGCTGCCCGCCGCCGCTGCCGCCGCCGCCGCCGCCGCCTGCCGCCGCCGCCGCCGCCGCCGCCGCCGCCGCCGCCGCGCCGCAGCCGCTGCCGCCACCGTCGCCGCCGCCGCCGCGCCGCCCCCCGCTGCCAAACCGCCGCCACCGCCACCGCCGCCGCCGCAGCCGCCGCCGCCGCCGCAGCCGCCGCAGCTGCCGCCGCCGCCGCCGCAGCCGCCGCAGCCGCCGCCGCCGCCGCAGCCGCCGCAGCCGCCGCCGCCGCCACCAAGTGTACTATGTATTGTTTTTTTTGACAGGGATGGCGGGGGGGGGGCCGCATCGGGTTGGCTGCGCATGTTCCGAATTTGGAGGCAGAGTGTGGTTTGCATTGTTTTTGACAAGGAATGGTGGGGGGTGTCGTCATGGACCCTGGTTGGCCCCCAGTCGCCTGGGGGAGGGGGTGTTTATTAATAGGGAACAGTGATAAACCCCTCCCCGAAGGGGAAGAAGGGGGTGGAAGAGGAAACACCATAAACCACCTACGCCCTAAAGGGCTGGTGGGATTCTCCTCAGGCCTGAGTGGCCCGATTGTATTAATCCCAAATAGGCATTGGTCCCAGAGTAGTCATGGATTTTCCCTCTCGGGTCGTATGGCCGCACGTCTCCGTACCCTGCCCCCCCTCGTGTGTTGTTGCAATCTGAGCCTGCCACGGGAGAGGGTGTTGCAGCATCGGTGATGCATGCGGCACGATTTGCTCTGGTCCTCCTCCCTCTTCTCCGCCTCGCCAGACCCTCGACGACGTGATTTTATTTCACAGTGTGGACTCCCGGGGGTCTCGACACCTAGTCCAGGACCGGATTTTTCACCCCGAGCAGTTTTTGACGGCCCCCCTGGCGAAGGCTCCTCTCGTGGAGGCCGAACGTTTCTGCACTCTTGCCACCCGTCGTCATTGCGTTGGGGAATTTTGGCTCAGAGTGTCGCACCGCCAGTTCTGGTTCACCACGTTTCGACGCGACTTACTAACCACGTCCCGGTCCCCAAGCGCCACGTCATAGTTTTTCCCAGCCTCCCGTTTCGCGGAGCGGAGTTACACGCAACTTCCGCTTGCAGGGCACAGTGAGTCGCCGGGGCCGCTGCCGCGGCACGCTAAGCAGCAGGGGGGTCGGGGTCCTCCTCCCTCCTCCTCCTCCTCCTCCTCCTCCTCAACCTCCTCCTCTTCCTCCTCCTCCGACGTTTCGGCGCGCTTACAAAAGCCACATTACAAAAAAAAAACTCCTCCTCCTCCTCCTCCTCCTCCTCCTCCTCCCTCCCTCCCTCCCTCCCCTCCCTCCCTCCCTCCCTCCCTCCCTCCCTCCCTCCCTCCCTCCCTCCCTCCTCCCTCCCTCCTCCCTCGGTCCTCCTCCTCCTCCTCCTCGTCCTCCTCCCTAGGTCCTCCCTCCCTTCCTCCCTCCTCTTCCTCCTTCTCCTCCTCCCTCGGTCCTCCTGCCCCCTCGCTTTCAGCGCACGGCGCAGGACCTCCTCAAGAACATGGAGCCGCTGGTGTCCGCCCGCAAGAGCAAGAAGGCGGCAGCCCCTCACGACGACTGGGCGCTCTGAGGCTTCGCTCTCTGCCGCCTCACAGGGCGACGCAAAGTCACCCGAGCCGAATTCGCATGTGGTCTTCGAGAGGCAGAGGAGGGCGAGTTGAGGCTCGGGCATTGGGAGAGCGCCCGCCCGGACAAGCCGACTGGAGAACCCTGCAAGGGCTCATCCCGACATCGGCGTGCGAGAGTGCTGGTGCAGTCCCCAGGCGATTTCGCTACTCGACGTGCGTTTCGCCGGACACATCTGGCCACTGCTGGACGCCTATCCGTGATTGCGCCCTGGTGCACTCGGAGCGCGGCGGTGCGCGCGCCCGTTGACAGCCCCAGCAGCTTCCGCCCAAGGGCCGCCAAAGGGCGCTCTGCTACAGGAGGTGCCACCAATCCTCGAAGGGCAACGGTGGTGGGCCCGCCGGGGGGGTCCCCCATCATCGCGACGGCTGGAGGCAGCTCGGAGAGCAACTGGGGCTCTTGGGGCCTCAGGAAGGACCTCCGGAAGGACCGATGCTCGTGGAGCTGCCGCGGGCCGTGGCCTCCACTCGCCCTGCTCCGATAAAGAGCGACTGTTCGTGAGCTTTTCCCCGCAGCCTCACCGAGACTGGCACGCGGCACCCGGACAGAGGCAGGCGTCGTGCTCCGGAGTTGGGAGAGGGGGAGGCGGCATCGGACACTCGGAGGAGGAAACGGCGGCCATACCCCCACGCTCCCCTCGTGTTCTCTTGGGCCTCCCGGGCATCCGCCGTCGCCACCGCCGGATTCGCCTGGAAATCCTGGTCAGAACGCCACCCAGGAGAGGCCCAGGGAGTAGCGGTATCGGTACCTTTTTTGGTTTTCCCAAGGACGAGGGTACATCCGTTCCAGGGCGTTCCAGGACGAGGGTAAATCCGTTCCAGAGCGTTCCGGCACGCTCTCAGAGCGTAGTTCCCGAACGCTCTGAGAAGGCCGCGGCACCCGATACACCCTCGGAGACGCCAGATCTCAGAGATTCTCGATTTGACATCACACGAATTCGTCCTCGTCCTGGTTTCGTATTATGGCATGTGGCCGGCGTGGGCTCTCTCCGTCGAGGGGGGGGTCCGTCTTGAGGGCACGCGCCAGGTCGTCGCGTGCGCACAGTCAGCAGGCCGCAGCCGCACACTGTCGGGCCCGTGGCTTTTGCTTTCGAGTTCTCGGGCTGGGGATTTCCCTGGGCCATTCCTTCAGATGGCAGCGACCAGGGACAGTTATTCAGGATCGGCGCCGGGAGGAGGAGGAGGAGGAGGAGGATAAAGATGAGGAGGTGGACACGATCGCTGTTGAGAGCAATGCAGATTAGCAGCGTGAGCACGGTATCAGTGAGTTGGCAGTGTCGTTGGACTCCTGCTTCTGGGTGCCGCGGGCGCCTTTCCAAGGCGCTGCCCTTAGGACAGCGCCGTTTTTTTTTCCAGCTGGCAGCACCGTCGGCGGCACTCCCTGGCCACATCGGCCTTCTTATGCACCGGCGTTATTGTTGCACTGAGCCTCATTTCGGGGGAGCGTAAGACCCGGGTTTGCCAGGACTCGGGTTCGCCATCGTTTTTTGACGACCGCGCCTCGGATTTTGACGAGGAGGAGTTTCGTGGGATGCCTGCAGCGGGAGGCCTCGTCAAAATGCAGGCTCGGCCTCGCCATTTTTTTGACGACCTCGTCGGGGATTTCCGAGTCCCCTGTACCCAGGTCTTACGCCCCCCTGATCATTCCGCACGGCGCGGACGTTGCGAGCGGTGGCACCACCCCCGGCTTGCCCACACCGAGAGAAGCACGGGTCGGCCTCCCGCAGGCGGTCCGCACGCGGCCAGAGCAGCGGGGGCCCCCTCGACGCCGGCAGGCGCGACGCCAGGCTGCTCTGCCGCCCCTCTCCTCCTCCTCCTCCTCCTCCTCCTCCTCCTCCTCCTCCTACCTCCTCCTCCTCCTCCTCCTCCTCCTCCTCCTCCTCCTCCTCCTCCTCCCTCCTCCTCCTCTCCTCCTCCTCCTCCTCCTCCTCCTCCTCCTCCTCCTCCTCCTCCTCCTCCTCCTCCTCCTCCTCCTCCTCCTCCCCCTTCTTCTGCGTCCCGGACAGTTAACGGGCGAAGAGCGGTATAACATCAACTTTTTTTCGCTGTCGGGGGCGCCTGTCCCTGGGCGGCTGGACAGTTTATACCCCTACGGTGCCACCGTGAGGGTATAAACTTCCCTGCCGCCCAGGGACGGGCGCCCCCGACAGCGAAAAAAAGTGTATGTTCTACCGCTCTTCGCCCGTTGAGGCAGAGAAGCACGACGGCAGCTGTCTGGGGTTCGGTGGCTGCCACTGCAGGTGTAAGCGGGTGTGCCGGCCAGGGCCTCGGTCGACCGACATTTGCGACAACGCGGATGCCGTGGTCGGCTCTTGTTGGGGGAAGGCGCTGGTGCTGGCCAGGTCCGGGGATCGGGGCCCCCCGGGCCGTCAGGGAGCGACGGGCGGCGAGCAGCTCGTGCATGCCACCCTCGCGGCCGCCTCTCCACCATCTTCTCTGCAGCTGGTGTGCACGTGGCCCCTCTGCTGCTGCTGGTGCTCGCTTGCTTGCATGTCTGGCCACTCGCAGTGTCGCATGGGCGCTGCACAGCACAATCTGTGGTAGGAGCTGGCAGATTTTCTCGGATCAGAGATGTATTAAACTCAGGAGGAGGCCTCGCCGGCCCCGCATGTAAACGAAACACGAGTCCCGATCATACTGACGTCGAGAAGCTGAAACGTAGCCCATGAACAAAACACTGTACTTCACGGCCTGATCGATCAGCTCGGAGCCGGAAATTTGTTCTAAGCCGGCGTCTGCAAGTTGCACCGCGTGTGAGTGACCAGAAGGAGACCGCCGCAAGCAGGACTGAGCACGGCATGATGATCACATGCTCTTCTGGAGGTCCGCGCCGCAGGAGGAGGAGGAGGAGGAGGAGGAGGAGGAGGAGGAGGAGGAGGAGGAGGAGGAAGAAGAGAAGGATTAGGGACAGAGTAAACCCTATATGTATCAACAATGCTGCAATACACGCTCCCGTCCCAAAGTCCCCTCCGCATTAGTCGCTGCACGCATTCTTCCTCACTGCGGGGAGCGACCCCATGACAGGCGAGCGCCCCACGGAACCGCAATTTTAACGGGAGTTGCGTCTTGAAGGGGAGAGGGGAGAGGAGGAGTAAGAGGAGGAGGAGGATCCCTTTTCCTCCTCCTCCTCCTCCTCCTCCTCCTTCTCCTCCTTGCGCACATAGCTTGTACCTTCCATACCCGTTCATGTTCGTGCGATTGGCTTCCTCGACGTCGCTCGGGAGCTTAGCAGGGGAGTGGTGCCCAGCCGCGGCATCCAGGTTCACCCTTTTCGGATGCTCTCGGATTCGATAAGCGGTACTCTCCGGCAGACTGATCTAGACAGTCGCTCACACAGATCCAGCAGCTGTTGCACCACAAGGCACCGCTTCTTGTTTGTTGCAGTGCACATGCCCAGCAGGCTGATCGTAAGTGCGTCGCATCGTATTGTATATTTTTCTCGTCCTCCTGGTTTTTGGACGAAAAAAGCACGCTCCGCCTTCTAATGCTCAACCCCCTGGCGCGGGCGGTGTAATCCCACGTTGGGCCCTTCAAGTCTCCTGAGAACTCCGCGGGGGCTTAGACCAGGGGGGTTCAGATCAGTAGCTTTTGGCAATCGGAAACGTTGATGATGAACCATCGAATTACGCAGGGTCATTCATCCATACGTTCGTCCATCTGCCCATCCACCCACCCATCCATTGCATGTGCACCGCCGCCAGATTCCATCCATCCACCCACCCACCCACCCATCCACCCATCCACCCGCTCACACACCCTTCCATCAACAATATGTACTATCTCTCCTTCACCCATCCGTCAATCCTGCCTTTCATCATGCCACTTTGGCCCTTTCATGCCTTCTTCCAGCCATCCTGCCTGTGCCTTTTCCTGCCGCTCCGAGAGTGGCGCTAGCCTCTTCGGAGATGTGGGCGCCGCCTCTGCTGTGGGCGCCTCCTCAGATAGGGCAGGTTCCACAGCGGCAGCAGGCCCCGCAGCAGCAGGCCCCGCGGCAGCAGGAACAGCAAACCGAACAGGGCAAGAAGCTTGTCCCCGGCGCTGGTGTGAAGGTCGACGGCGACGGCGACGACGACGGCGACCACGACGGCGCCGACCGCGACGACGGCGACGGCGACGACGACGACGACGACGACCGCCACGACGACGACGACGACGACGGCAGGACGAGAAGCTCGCCCTCGGCGCGGGCGCGAAGGTCGGCGACGACGACGACGACGACGACCTCGACGACGGCGACGACGACGACGGCGACGACCACGACGACGATGACGACGACGACGACGAAGGTCACGACTGGCTCCATCCCGCACTTCAAGCTGCCCCGAGTTCGTCTGTCGGAGGCCGCAGCGCTGCGAGAGGGGGGGGGGAGGGTGATGATTCCACTGGGCGCGCAGGGGCCTGGCACGCCGGGGGCGGCGGGAGCGGGCGCGGCGGCCCCTGCTGCAGCGGAACGCAGGCGGGCATGCCAGGGCTAGGTGCGATGGGCCGATGTTCCCCCCCCTGCCACGGCTGGGAGAGGGAGGGAGGAGGAGGAGGAGGCGGAGGAGAAGGAGGAGGATGGAGGGGGCGCAGGAGAAGGACAGTCGCTAATTTTTCTCGGCCCCCCCAGATCCTCCGAGGCTCTTGGGGCGCGTGGGTGGGGGGTTCGCGCTTCGGTTTGCGCGCGTTTTCTGGCGTCTGCGAACCGGAGCGAAGCTATCGTTTTCACATCGTACTTTCAGCAGGCATGCGCCGTTCTGATCGGGGATGGCTCGCGTTGAAAACGCGCGCGATCATATCCCTCAGGAGGCTTCGGGGGAGGACGAGGGCGATGATGAGGTGGGGGGGGGGGGGGAAGTTGGGAGGAACCTCTTTGCCCCCCTCCTCCCCCCCTCATCTTCCTCCGCCTTCCTCCTCGTCATTCGCGTCCTCCTCATCCTCGCCCCCCTCCCAGGCGCCCCCCGCTTCCTTCCTCTGGCCCCCCCCCCTCCCTCTTCCCTCCTCGCAACTGTTCCGTGGCCGCGACGACCGCGACGACGACGGCGACGACGACGACGGCGGCCGCGACGACGACGGCCGCGACGACGACGCTACATCTTTGGCGTTGCGAAGCGTCTCGGTTTCCAGGGTTTCAGGGGCCTCGAGGGTGCGCGCGTGTGTGCGTGCGTGTGTGTGTGGGTGCGCGTGTGTGTGTGTGTGCGTGTGTGTGTGTGTGTGTGCGTGTGTGTGTGTGTGTGTGTGTGTGTGTGTGTGTGTGTGTGTGTGCGCGTGTGTGTGTGTGTGTGTGCGTGTGTGTGTGTGCGTGGTGTGTGTGTGTGTGTGTCGTGCGTGCGTGTGTGTGTGTGTGTGTGTGTGTGTGTGTGTGTGTGTGCGTGTGCGTGTGTGCGTGCGTGCGCGTGCGCGTGCGCTTGCGTGTGTGTGTGTGTGTGTGTGTGTGTGTGTGTGCGTGTTCGTGCGCGTGTGTCTGTGTGATTGCGCGTGTGCGTGTGCGTGTGTGCATGTGTGCATGTGTTTGTGCGCGCGCGTGCGCGCGCGCCGATGGGTCGGGCGAGGAGGTGTCTTTCCTCTCTTTTTCTGGTTTGTTTTGAGGGGGGGGGGGGCGGGGGGCGGAAGGCGGCGGAGGGGAGAAGGGCGTCGCCGCCGCCCGCCGCAGGAGGAGTGGCTGGCGAGGAAGGGGAAGGCGGAGCAGCCGCCTGGGCGCCGCGAGCGCGGCCAGCTCGCGCTGACCGACTTCGCTCCGACGCCGGGCCCGGTCGTCGCCGAGGCGGCCGCGGCGGAGGCGCAGCCGCCGAAGGCGCCTCCGCCGACGGCGCCCGCGGCGCCCGCGGTCCCTCCCTCTCCCGAGGAGGCGAAGCGGCCGACGGCGGCGGCGCCCAGCAGCGCCGAGGCGACGCTGCAGCAGTCGCAGATGATGCAGTCGCAGATGCAGCAGCTGCAGCAGATGCAGTTGCGGCCGGAGCTGGGGCGGCAGCAGCCGCCAGGCGCGGGGGCGGGGTCCCTTACTTTCCTCTTCCTCTTCATCCCCTTCAGCCTACGCTCCGCGCGCTGTCCCTCGCGCCCCTCGCCCTTTTCTTGATCGGCCGCCCCCCGCCCCCCCTTCCGCAGAATCATCTTCCCCCCCGCCCGCCGTCTAGAGTTAGAGATATACTTAGAGTTAGACTTAGAGTTAACGTTCGAGCTAGAGTTAGAGTTATAGGTAGAGTTGGAGCTAGAGTTAGAGTTGGAGTTAGATTCAGAGCGGGCGTTATGATTATGGCGTTAGGGTTAGGGTGGTGGGACTTATGGTTGGTGTGTCAGGAGAGCGTTAGGGTTAGGGCGTTAAGGTTAGGGTGCTCGGGTTAGGGGTTGGGCGTATTGGACACGGGGGCGGGGCGCGTGGGGGGGGGATCAAGTTAGTGTTGGGGTTAGGGTGCTAGTGTGATAGGGGTTGGTAGGGTTGGGGCTCGGGCGTTTCAGTGCGATGCTCTGTGCTCCGCTTCCACCCCTGCCCCCCCCCCCCGGCCCTTCCCCCCCGCAGTCCCCCCCTCGCCGCTGCTCGCCCGTCTCGCCCTCCCCTGTGCTGGCGCGTTTCTTCCCTGGCAGCACCTCTTGCCAGGGCGCGAGCCCGCGGGCGACTACGCAGCCGCGGGCGACGCCATCGCAGCACTAGCAGCGAGGAACAAGCATGAACGCGTGGCCTCCTACAGGCAGCTGCAGGGGATATCGCATCAGCCTCGCCTGCATTCAGGGCGCATCCTAGGCGAGTTCGACTTGCCGACCGACCAGACCGGCCGACCAGACCGAGTCTCGCAATGATGTTCCAGACGTGGCGAGCGGCGCTGATACTGCATGCGTTGTAGACTGGGCGTCTGGATAACGGCTTGCTGTTTTGCCCGGTGGTTCCGCCTCTGACGTTGGTGCTTGACCTAGGCTCGATCGGGGCTGCAGGGGCAGCGTTTGCGATGTTCCATCAGGGCAAGATGACCCACCCCAGGTTCGATGAGGTCCACAAGATCACCAGGGACTTGAAGAAGGCAGAGAAGGAGTGTATGTATTCAACGCTTTTGGTGTGCAAGGTGTGTTCAGCCTACCTGCGCGGCATGAACAATAGGCCATTCGATAGCGGGGGGGCAATTTCACGAAAAGAAAAGGCTGCTGGACGTATTCTCACACACATTAGGATGCCGATTCTCCAGTGTTAAGGAAGAAGAAGCATCGCATTGCCAACGATTGGAACATGCCCTGTGACAGTAGGGCGGAGATGCAAGCCATATTCGACGACGCATTGCAGGTGGATTCGTTCAGTCAGAAGATGAGCCAACCGAAGCAGGCCAACTGGTTTGCATGGAACAAAGCCGCCCACGAACAAATCCTTGAGTCCTTGAGTTCTGGGGCACCAAGATTGTGCTGGAGTCGCACTTGGACGGCGTCGATCCCGATTCAAA